CTTATTGCCTTAATTTTTGTATTAAATTATCTATATATTCAATATGTTAAAAAAATATTCGAATATAAGAATGATATCATTACGTACGAGTACTCCTCGAAAGCACTCTCCTTATTAGTTAAGGCGTATCTCCATGGATTCCCTACACCAAAATAATATTACCCCTTAAAAAATTTACAAGTAACATATTTACATATACTCAAAGATTTATTCTAGAGTTTTTTAATTGTGCTTTTACGATCAAGCCAGCAGATATAGTGCAACTGCAAGCTATTGAGTTTGATCCAATTTCCATGAAGCTCGTTCAGAAAGACTAATATGGCTAACCTACAGTTACTACAAGAAATAAGATCTTTAATGATCTTTTAATTCTAACATTAAAGAATTTCGTCACAGAAAATATATTATTTGTGTCGAACTTTTTTCATTTTTAAAATGAGTAATTATGATTTATTTTTGTTTGGTCACCTTTTAAGTAATAATTGTGACAATTTTAAAGTATATCATAACAGATCACTAATAGTGTTCTATTATGACCAAAAGCAAACTGTTATTATTAATTAGTCACTAATAATAGGCTCGAATTAACGCTAACTTATTTTTCGAGGAAAAATTATAATAGTGACAATATATTAAGTACTCACTATTATTATTTATAATTGTGACGAAAATATTTTATCACTCTCTTTGTTGTTGATCTGTGACGATAATTATTTTTGTCATTAATGAAGTAAATATTTGTGTCATATTTCTATTTGGTCACTATAAACTTTGACAATATCATTTAATTTTTAATTATGATTAATTTTTTTTTTAAATGATTAGTTTTTATATTTTAATTTATGATCTTTATTGAGATATATGTGAGTTTTGCTAACATCAAATAATTATTAGTACTTTATTTTTTTATTTAGGACTTTCACCACAAGGGATTAATTGTTAAATATTATTATTTTATTTTATTTTATTCTATTAAATATAATTTAAAGACACTTGGTATAAGTTTAGTTTTAGATGTTACTATTTATATGTTTATATTTGAAAATCAACCTAATTATTTTTTATATTTTTCTTCCACAAACATATCTTATATGAGAAATTATAGAAAATTTAATTAAATTATTATAATGACAATTACTATTATAATTAATATAGTTTCATAAAATTGATCCAAAAAATAGTTTAACCTAAATATTATTTTTTAAATAAATATTTCTTTCTTAGCACAGCGGTTAACATAAATATTAATTTTTTTCAAAAACAAATATTTCTTTCTTAACACAGTGGTTAATTGTTGCACTTTTAACCTAAAGGTCTCATGTTATATCTTCTTGAAGTCATGTATTATATTAATTTATTAAAGAATCACATGTGGAATCAACAACTAGTGGATGAAGCACTATATCATTTAATTAAATTGGATTGGGCGACACTCTCACCTATGTAGATAAACATGTAGAGACGTCACATTATCTATCATTATCGAATAACTAACTGATGACAAATGATTGTAATGCAAGTTCCTAAAGAATATGAATACAACTAAAAACTGAAATATATCTCTGCTATAGTTGATTTAATAATGAATATTTTAGTTAATCAATTTAATTATGTAATTGTGATAAAATATTTGTCACTAATAAGGATAATATTAGTATCTAAGTTTTTATCATTGTTATTAATCATTTTGTGTTAAAAATGTAGTCACAAAAAAAATAAGTAATTGTGACAAAATTCAATAAATCATCACTAATATATTAGTGACAAAAAATGACGGCTCAAAAATTTTATCATTATGATTTTCAGTGACTGAATTTGATATTTTTAGTGACCGTTCTTAGTGTCACTGAAAATGTAATTTCTTTTAGTGAATTCTCTTTACACCATCTTACAGCTATTCAATCTAAACTCAAAAATTTTGTTAAAGTTTATCATTTATCAATGAGCTCCATATGATTTTGAATGATAATTCATTCAATTCTTTATAATGCAATAATTTTTCTTGATATCCTTCCATACAAATCCCACTTCGTCAACTGAACGAGTGATAGAGATTTGGAAGTTGACACCTTTACGGTTGCCATGATAAAAGAACCACCAGCAGCCTAAAATGTACAACTGTTCACAACAAGTGTGTCGAATTTCGTCCAGGGACTAGCTTGATGGAGGACCATCTCCCTTGTTAGTATCACTCATTTGGGAACTTGCAAAGCAAAACCTTGATGCCATTGAGACCCCATAGAAGCTCCTCATTGACATGGATATCCTTCTCCAGGCAGCTGTTCATTTCCATTATCAAAAGTCAGCTCTTCACCAATAGCTATCCGCAAAATCACAAAGTGAAAGTGGTAGGATTCAATACATTCAGAAAACAATCAAAAGTCAGCTCTGCACTAATAGCTATATTCAGTACTTGATTCGTAGCAAGTGTATCCTCACCTGTGATTGATGAACCGAGAAACATTCCCATATTTGTTTGCATTTATGACATATTGGACCTGTTCCTTAATAAACTGGCTCATATCATTACCATGAGAATAGATGTTATACGTATAGTTGCAACCGTCTATATCATACTTGGAATCCAATCATATAGCCTACTCAACATAAAACATAAAAAGCTAAAAAGAAAGAAAGAAAAGAAGGAAGAAGAAGCAAGCATATGGTGAAGACAGATCCTCATAAATCAGGAAGTAAAACCTGGTAAGACATGAAGCAATGTCAAAGGATAAAACTATAAAATACAACTAGAATTTGAAACTACTACCTTATTCTTTTGTTTTGGGAACTTTTAGTTTCACTCGTACTCCATTTTTGTAATACCCTATTTGGACATGCTATGTTGCAGCTACACTTGATTGCATTTGCAGGCAATGTAACTCTCATGCACAGTTTCAAGAAGGCTTAATCACAGCATATAATTCGCAATTAAAGAAAGCAGCAAGAATGCCAATCAGATTACATTTGCCTATTTAATTGTTACTCAAAAGGGCTAACCATCATGTTAGATGCTTATGAGTATCATATCAAGTCACTGGTGCACGCCTTTAGAAGACAATTATAAAAGAATCTATTGCATGGCAAGAAAAGGAAAGTACAAAAGAAAGGTATCTGATTAATCGTTTAGAAAAAGTTTTCCAGCAAATAAGGGTAGATACCTCCGTGATTTGAGAAACAGTATAAAACAAGCAAAACCAGAAATGATGCTTTAGGGTGAAAAGAGAAAGACTGACAGAACAAGAATTAAAGTACTTCCAAGATAATACGTCCTTTGTCATCACAATTCACAAGGAAAATTGACATGCACAGGTTTCTTGTATATGACTCTTGCATCATCATAATCATTATTAAAGAGAGATAAATGATCAAATGTCTCAGGACAGCATGTTGAATAGGAACAGTTCATGCAAGCTGCAAACTCTTAATATGATATGTACATAAATTACAGGTAGAAGTGGCAAAAGTATTTATTAAATAAAACATAATAGTTAAACCTGTCCGATCAACGTACAAATGCATTCCATAAGCGACGGATTAGATGCAAGCCATAAGAAACAAGAAAGATACCAGCCCTTGAGTTAAGAAATTGATTCCGTAGTATATCAAACAAAATCAAAAACTCTCTGGTATGGGAGTAATCAAGAAACTTAAAATTAACTTCGGTGGTAAGGTTATTGTGATATGAAATAAAAGTAGGAATCTATATGAAGCAGCAATAAAGAAAAGGATATAATAATCCAAATACAAAGGTGCCTCAGCATCAAGAAGGGATTGGCCAAGGATATATAATCCCTGGTAACGGGAATAAAAAAGACTTCCATCCACTACAAAAGCTACACCAGTGGCCCAATTCCAAATAAACTTAACCACAACCTGCTTTTAACTTGCAATACAGTATAAATCAGTGGCTAAATGTCACTACAAGAAAAGGAAAAGGGAAAAAAAAGTAGAGAATTTTGGGGAAAGGAGATGCCAAACAACCTAAGTAATCAAGGCTATAATATTGTGACCAGCAAACATTGAACTCCAGTGAAATCCTGACTAATTTGAAACACCAAAAACCAAACAAAGCCAGCCAGTCACCACAAGAATCTAACACACTGCTAATTTGAAATATCAAACACTTTGGATTTAATTATTGAACACAACTCACTTCCAAGTAAAAATCCAAAGGATGTTATCTTAAATCCAGACAACAAAACCCCACAGAACCATAATGGCAATCTCATAACCTCCAAATATAATATGACAACCATTATCTTGCTTCTATATATTCTCACATGCTTACTAAGAAAATATAAAAAAATACGCCATATAACTGGTACCTTCAGTTGGAAGTTTTTTCTTGTTAATCTCTCTAACTAAGTAGCTAACTGAAATTAAGGTATGACAACTAGCTGGAATTGCTCATCAAGGGACTTCAAGAATCGTTATAGAACTCAACCCAAATATGGATAATTAAGGAAAAATTTACAGCAAGGTGCTAGATAGTAGGAGCAATTTTCAATACTGGTTATAACTGTTACAGGGCAATAAAGATGAAGGAAATCAAAGTAGAACAATAAGTGAACATTTCAAGACTGGGGGAATGGCACATAAGAACTTGCACCAGAAAAGTCCACTGATAAATTAATTAATGCTGAAATCAAGTTTTGTACAGGGGTCAGACATTCAGAAAATTCTGCCCATCACTCCACCTCTGTTTTTTTTCTCAAATGACATAAAACTTTTAAGCAACTATAACAAGAGTGATATCCAAATTCAGTTTTTTCTCTATAGGAGCATAAAGCAATGTCCTTTAGGCTTATTAAAATTGAAATTTTCTGCATTAGAAAGCAAGAATTTTGCACTTTCATAATCATGATCATATAAGCCACAATACAAATGCAATCAAACAGGAAACTAGGTTTATTCTAACAAATTCCTGAAAGCTGCAATGGAACATTAACGCCAGTAGTCTTCGATGAAGGGTGGATCTGCACGGGAAAAAATCAAAACTAAATAATTTAGATCATTTCTCGAATTGTGAATGTCACCCTTGCGCAGGAGCCATGCTAATCTTCTCTGCATCGATCCAATTTCGGAGCTCGTAAGTTTCTATACTTAAACCAGCAGGAAACACTGTACGTGAGTGATGCGGGAGTTTTCGATTAAAAGTTCAAACCGTGGCCTGGCATTCAATTGAATAGGTGTTGATGGACCTAGTACAAAAATATTTGGGGTCTCAAATGCCAGGCCGACAAGCAAGCCCATCAATAAATGATCTATAAAACCCAGATACATCATCCCATTAAATAATATTGAATTAGATATCATAAAATGTGAGGGTGGTTAAAATGATGATATTTAAATATAATTTTGAAAACAAGTGCAGCAATAGATAAATAAATATTAAAAAAAAGCCAGTGGAAGGATTGGTTTAAAAAATTAAGTCAATTATGGTTTCATGTAATTTTTTTTAAAAATATCTATTTTATTTTTTTAAATTTAGTCGATGTAAATTAGGTTGTTAAATGTAGTTTATCTTACTGATTAAATCCTTTTTTATTTTATATAAATATGTTATAGTCTATTTTTTTATAAACTTTTTCTCATTTTTACTTTTAAAATAAACACCCAAAATACTTTCGTCGTCAACTCTCCTTAGTGAAAACAATAAAACAAAGAATTTTTATTCTTTTGTCTGACTGAATATAATTAAATTAGTCATTGTATTTGATCTATTGATTGACTAATACATATTATACAATGTAGAAACTTATTATGAGAGCAATTATCCTAATACAAATTGCTATATTTTGTTATATTACAATATCAAGATTCAAACTTTGATATTGGTTTTATATAAAAGAAAACTTGATCTTGTTTAAAATATTTAGTGTATCATCTTACTAGATCAACTTATTGTTAATAATTATAATATTTTTTTCATAAAAATATTGATTAAATTATAATATTTTAAAAATAATATTAATTATTATATTTTATAATTATAATGAATAATTTTTGAAAAAGTGTATCGAACATAGGTGAATTATATATATATATATATATATATATCATCCATGAGAAAATAATTTTTGAATAATATTTGTTTAAAAATTTAATTTTTTAAAATATATTTTCAATGAAAAAAAAACTAATCTTAAATATCAAATAAATTCCTAAAGAAGATTAATGAAAACAATAATAAAAAAGAATTCAGTTAGACAATAGTCTTCCTTTTCTGTCGGCCTATCTTTTTCATGGTTATGTGCATATGTAAAAGAAAAACATCAAATATCTTTAAGAGTAAACTACACGGGTGACCACTCAACTATGGTCAAAAATCAATTTAACCACCGAAGTTTCAATTGAATCAATCAGACACTCAACTATTTTAATGGTTCAATCAAGCCATCTGTCGTTAGTTTTTAACAGGGATGGTGACGTTTCCGTTAATAAAAATGGCATAATTATACATTTGGTCCTTAATATTTATAAATCCTATCAATTTGGATATAAATTATTTTAATTAAAATAAATTTAATCTCCAATTAAATGGTGACACTTGTAATCATAGTTACATAAATCGCTCAATAGCCCACGATCTACGTACTGTACGCTGCGATCCAAAACGCGATACGAACGCGTTCTAGGTCGTTCCAAAATCGCGATTCGGTACGAAAGCTTATATGATTTGGTACGAACGCGTTCCAGATCGTTCCAAAATCGTCGGAGACGAAAAAAGTTGAAGCTTTCGTCGTAGATCTACGTTGATAGACCCATTTTTAGGCGAATCTAACCTTGGATCTGAAACAAGGGTGAGGAAATGTTTCGGGTGACATCTCTCTTTTAATTCCGACGCCGGCATACGGTGACGACCGTCGATGACGCGGTGGAAAACCCACCGAAATCTGGGCGCAGGTTGTATCTCCCTCTCTCTCTCTCTCTCAAAACTGAGAAATGAAACAAAATGAAAATAAGCCCGTTTTGGCTTATATGATTATATATATATATATTAAGGAAATTTTAATTTCTTTTATTTTATCCCTACTATTTATAGTTACTTATAAAATTTGATGTAGAAAAATAGCAACTTAAAAAACTGGTACATCTTACCAATTTATATGGTACATCGTACCAGAGCGATCTGAAATGAGTCTATCCCTCGTATCGAATTTTAGGGACCTAGCGAATTGCGATCCCGTTCCACCTTCCCGTATCGGAGCGTACCGCGATCGATGTGAATATGCTTGTTATTACCTAGTTGGAGCATGTTTTCTTAATTTTTTTATTTATGTAATATATTTATTTATGAAAAAGAGTCCCTCTACTTCATGGAAACTTCAGCCTTGGAAGCAACAAACGTGGAAAATGCATTTGCCGAAGTTCTTACGCAGATCTACCATATTGTCAGCAAGAAGGCGATGGAGACGGGTGATGAAGGGGCGCTTCAGCTGTTCCTTCCAAGGGGGAGAAAATTGACGTCGGCAAAGACATGTCTGCAATGAGGGGGGGGGGGGTTGCTGCTCGAGCTAAGGATGAAGACTTAAAAAAATCTGCAGTATACGGTTTTAAGGGATGCAGGCAATTGGAGTTCTTCGTAATTTTTTTCCTCAAAAATGGTACCCAATAGTAGGATATGGGTGGACTGTAGACTGATTTAATTTACATAAAAAAATCCTAATGGCTATTAATTTTAGTAGATAATAGGCATACAAGGTTTAAAGTTATTAAAAATTTAATTTTAATATATTTGTATTTAGTTCAAATATCAATTTCATTATTTATATTCTTATGGTCTAAATATTAGGATTTAAATTACATTTTTAACAAGATCGTCTCTAAATTTTAAATATATATTCGTATTTCTTCTTTTGTCTTATATCGAATGGAGTTCTGATAATTTTTATGCAAAAATGAGAATGAAGTCGGGCCAAATTGCTCGAGGAAAAATCACACACCAGCATATGCAATTGCCATTGGCACACGCATTAATTAATGGGCTAACCCTGATAAGGAGAATCTAATCTAAGCTGGCATTTGTCGTAATTTATGTGCAATAATGGAATGGATAAGATTAAAATATATTACATAAATAAAAAATTAAGAAATATGTTCCAACTAGGCAATGACATGTGTCACCATTTAATTAGAGATTAAAATTATTTTAATTAAAATAATTTGTATCCAAATTGATAGGATTTATAAATATTAAGGACCAAATGTATAATTATACAATTTTTATTAATGGACACGTCACCATCCTTATTAAAAACTAATTACAGGTGGCTTGATTGAACCATTTAAATAGTTGGGTGGTCTGATTGATTCAATCAAAACTTCGGTGATCAAATTGATTTTTGACCATAGTTGGATGGTTATCCGTGTAGTTTACTCTATCTTTAATGTTTAAGGGATTTGGGTTATATATTATTTCAATTTTTGATCTAACTGTAGCTAATTTTCATTTTTATATTTGAAGTTATATAAATTCAAGCAACCGCTGACTATTAAGATATATTTATAGTTAAAAATTGAATCTCAATTTTATTTTTTCCATATATAATATTTGTTCACATTATTTTTTGTACGACCACTCGAGATTAAACTCAAATTAGATTATTTAAATTCTTTAAATAAGAGATTTTCATAATTAAGGTATTTATTATTATTTCTTGAAGATTTAGATTTGAACGCCGTATATGTAAGGAATATGGGTATTCATTATTAAATGATTGAGTCTTTAAACATATTTAACCAAAAAAATCAAATATTGTTTAGACATTTAATTTTTTATTAAGTCATTATTTTTAGAGTAAAGTAAACAAATAGTCTCTCAACTATATGATATTATTTTGTTGAGTCTCTCAATTATTAAAAGTTATAAAATGTTCTCTGAGTATAGAGTGTTATTTTGTTGAATCCTCCGACGACTAAAAGTTACAAAATGGTCACCAACTATTCATGTATTCTAAACACGTCATTTTCCGTTAAAAAATTGACAATAGTCTGAGTTTGACTTAACTTGTTGATTGGATATGATAAAATTTGATCCTAGAATCTCGAATGACTATCATATCTCTGTCAACATCCAGCTCATATCGCCTTCAATCTTTAACAGAAAATGACAATTTTAGAACATATTAATAGTCGAATAACTATTTTGTAATTTTGAATAATCGGGAAACTCAACAAAGCAACAACTTATAGTTGGAGGACCACTTTATAGTTTTTAATAATTGAATGACTCAATTTTGGACCATTTTTGTATTTTAGCCTTACTTTTAAATGGGTATATTTGAGTTAGAAAAGGACAATAAGAAAATTAAGTTTTATTAATATAGGGAGGGTAGTGGGGACAGCAGTGTGGGGAAGGGAGAAATAACCTTTTGCTGTATATAATTAGTATTGATTCCTTTGTCCAAAGGTTGGAAACTTCACTTTTTCATATAGGGATGGTCATAAGGACCATAGCCCATTCTAATTCCTCTGAAATTCATTCATCTTCTTTGATCACTTTTAGCTGCAAAGTACAAGACGTTACTCACCAACTTCTCATTGATTTTCAAGTTTCAACTCCTCTTCAACATTAACAATCATCCATCATCTTCAATATATAAAATTTCAATGGTCCTAAGAAATCTCGTCGTCATTTAGCCTTTGAGAATATCATTTGAATATTAAACCATGGAGACACATAGCTCAAGTCTATCTAACCTATCCTTTTGTTTATAAACTGACAACTTTTCGAGAAAAATTTCAGTATTGATTCACACATGGAACTCTGAGCCTGTTAGATTTTTTATAATCAATGCCATTAGATCAGCTAAACAATCACCATTTGTTTATTATTTATCAGAACATCTAAATTTGCAACCCTTTTTCTGATACAACTAAAAATATCAGATAGTTCCAAAAAAAATAGTTCACCACTAAGCAAAACTAAAAATAAGAACAACTACATGAGGATGTTAAATACCCAGATTATGCTTATTCAGTTTTACAGTCTCAGATATATTAATGTTTCTCAGAAGGGTTTTGTTTATAGACTAGGCTTTTGGATTTTTCTGCAATCTCCATACAAAAAGGTGAGATAATCAAATGGAAGTTTGTCTGATGCCATAAATTATTTGCTGGAGCATTATTGTTGGATATTAGTTGAAAACCAACTCAAATATCAGCGTTTCCAAGCGGATTAGGCCAATCTGTGACCTTGTAGTTGAAACATTCTAACCATTAATCGAATTAACCATCATACTGATGATTTAGACAATTAAATTCAATTGCTTAATTTACATAAACAATGAGAGGCAAAATTTTTTTTTTTTTGGGTGGGGGGGGGGGCGGGATGAACAGGTGAACTGAGACAAATATCATATATAATGTATATATCTGCTTGATACAGGGTGACAGTCACCAACTCCCACTTGCTTTCCAAAAAGAGAAGAGAATGTGGAAACTGAGGCGTTAACAAATAAATGCTTGTGTAAATAGGGTCATAGGCAAGGATCACTATTTATCTTTCTCTTAGCTATCTTCTTTAGGACGTTTTGGACATTTGACATCGAGGGTGTAGTCTCAAAAACAATGCCGTTGCTCCTATGCCAAGTTCTTCTTCCTTTACAGCCCACGAGCTGGTTTACATCTTTTAATTGAGAAAAGGAAAGAGATAGTCTTCTCCTTATTGCAAAAGGTGACTGTTTTATAGAGTGAATGAACTTAGAGTAACTCATAAAAGAAACAGAATCACTGGTCAAAAGCCAAAAAAATTTAACTTTTCGTACCTGTACTTTTGGGTACCTGGTTCATCTTCCTCAGAACCCTTCAGGTGTTCCATTGTTTTTTTTAGAGCCTAGTTGGTAAAGTCCTCTACTTTATTTCAGTTTATGTCTCTTGTATCAGCAATATTTTTTCTTTCAGTTACTTATTCTGTGACAATAGTTTCTCAGTGATGGGATTTCAAGGCAGTGGAAAAAGTAAAATGCTGGGATCGAGAGGGATATCAAGGCACAAGCGTCCGAAGAGGTGACTCTTCAAAATCTTCTGTTACTTTGCAGTCACCATTGTTGTACTTTAATGTCAAGATCTAACCGGAAGGAGTTTTGAGATGGTGTTTACTTAAGAACTTTAAGCATTTACCGGTGCTTACTCATGTATTTGTACCTTAGTAATATCTATGTTTGAATTATTATCCTTATCATCCGTGGAGGTATACAAAACTGATGCACTTTTAGTCTGTCTTTTGTCTATATCTTATTCAATATTGATCTGGCATTATTTTTTTCTACCTACAAACTACTAACAACTGAAATGGAAAACTTGACCCTGAAGAGGCATTTGCCTATTCTCCTTTATGAATTTGGCTCCATGCCCCTTCTCCAAGATAATGCTTTCGTGGTCCGTAGTTTACTGAAAGAAGTTTTGAAAGTCTAAGGAACTTCTTGAAATTTGGCTTCACATCAAACTTTTATTTGCATAAGATTTGTTGCCTGTTGATTATTCTTTCTTCCTTTTGTTTTTACATATTTTTCATTCTTTCGGATTTATTTTGTAAGGTCGGTGATTAATAAGTCAATCATAGGTTACTTCAAGTAATCAGAGATCCTTTTTGAGATTGTTTATGGAAAGATAGCTAAATGGACCACTGGTAAAGGGTGAGGAATTACACCCATGGTTTTTCTTGCTTATAGAAATGTGACACAAGTTATCTTTTAGCTTGAGTTTTGGCAATCACTCATGAGAGGCTACCAATTGCAGTGACAGCTTTCCTGGTGAGAGAAGAGTTGAGGAAGAGGGCTTGAGCAGTTTTCTTGAAGCACTGAGTTGTATGAAGCATTTGAAGGACTCTGTCAAAACCAAGAACCGGCAGTCTTCCACTGCTAGCACTGAGGTCCAAAGCTCCTTGAAACAAAGGGTGTGGAACTTAACCTGTTTTTTATTTTATTTTTTATCGTTTTAGTCATCTTTGGATATCACATTGGCTTTGAATTATATTTTGTGAGGTCTTTAATGAACCAAGATTGTGGTACCGCTCACAAGTTACAAAGTATTGCTAATGTGATTTTCTAAAACTGTTTTGTGCAGATTTCAGAGCTTGAGAAAAGGTTGCAAGATCAAGTTGAGGTTCGTCATGCAATAGAAATAGCATTGGGTTATAGAACCTGGTCCCATTATGATGCAGGGGTGCCGATATCAAAGGTTGCTCCTTTAGTTCTAAGGAAATAGGAGTTTATTCCTTATTTTCCTCTTCTTCTTGGCTGCTTCTAGTCTTGGTGGTCGATTAAGTTCTCGTTTATGCCAAATTTTTACATTAGAATTTACTTTCTTGATCTACTTTTAGCCCTATTATATATTCCCTCATGTCTGACTCTTGAAAGTGGACACTGCTTTTCTGCATCTTGGTACGGAGTTAGTCAAGGAAATTGCTGTATTAGAGTTGGAAGTTGTATATTTGGAACAGTACCTTCTCTCCTTGTATAGGAAAGCATTGAGCAACAAGTGCCTTCTTTACCCCCTCTAAAAGGGATGAAAGGTTTAAAACACTTCTGTTATAGCGTTGGCCGCCAATTCAACTTGATAGATTATATATTCAGTCTTTCTTTCTTCCATAATAGGCATATCTGGCTTACGGTATTCCACAAAACAGAGTGAAGGGACTTTTTCTACTGTTGAGGGTAAGGATAAACTATCTCATTGTCGCCTGTCTTGAATGATGAAACGAGATCGGAATTCATTATCTTTTACTCTTCAACACATACAGGCTGCATATAACATTGGAGGTCACACCATCAGTGCAGATACAAACAGAGTTCCATCCTTGGATGTTGTATATCTCGTCCGGGACAGGCAGATCTCAAGCCTCATCTGTCTTGTTATCAGTTTCGATTCTTTAATTACTTAAGATTGTTAAAGACCTTGTTCTGAAAAGATGATAATTCATATGAGATGTATCAATGCATCTAATTCTAGTTTTAATATTCACTGTGTGCTTGATTTAGATCATGTTTTAAGGCGGTGCTTTATAACACTTTCTCCTTTGTGTAGTGGCTTCGGTTATTACTTTCTTCGAGGGCAAAATTTAAACCAGGAGACAAAAAGCAGGCATATGCAATTGAACAATCTGAACCCCTTTTACACTTTGCACTCTGTTCAGGAAATCATTCGGATCCCGCGGTACTATATTTTCTTTGATCTGTGTTTTTTCTTTACTATTGGCAGTTAGCACCAGTCGAAAACATTTTAATTTTCATGCTACATTTCTTCATTTCTTTAGGTCCGTGCCTATACACCGAAGAGGGTATTTCAAGAGCTGGAAACCGCGAAAGAAGAGTACATCCGGGCTACGTTCGGTGTCCGCAACAAGAAAATTCTGTTACCAAAGATTGTAGAGTCATTTGCAAAGGATTCGAGTTTGTGTCCGTCTGGTCTCATGGAAATGGTCCAACAGTCATTGCCGAAATCACTTGGTTGCAGTATCAGAAAATGTCAGCAAGGGAAATCACGCAAGAGCATTGAATGGATTCCTCATAATTTTAATTTTAGATATCTTATATCTAAAGAATTAGTAAGATGATCGAGTGTATGCATCATCAAGGCATGGTGCTTGAGCCTGATGATGCACTTTGAAAGCATTTTCATTTTGGAATATTTCAAATCTTAACTTGTAAAAAGAATAGAAACGAAAAGGAATACAAATCGATATGGCAATGTGGCATCATCATTTGTGACATAATTGTTGGTATGCGTAGTGGTTCGTATATATTTTTTATTCGAGTTGTGTATTTCATAAACTAATAATTCTTCCATGTTATATACTTTGAGCATTCAAATGAACTAGAAAACATAGCAGAAGGAAACGTTGCTACTTAGAAAGAAAACACTCAAATCTTGTCCTGATCAATATGCAGGATCTACCAAATGGTAAGCCTCTGAACCATCTGAACCAACTATTCGCTCAAACTGGCCTCTCAAGTACTTGATCACACCGGCGTCCAAACCGTTTTGCGCAAAAACCCGGCTCCAGACGAACCATCTGCATCATTTCAAGCACCCATTTCTCCTCCTGACCAACTTCCAACCTTCTGGAAAAGCCTACCTTTTGTCCATTGCAATACGTTAGCCACCTATGCGTGATACCTGAATCAGGGACAGGGTCCAGGACTATGCGAAGAACACCGCTGTCGATTGAACCGGTGAATTCTGTTGTGCCAAGGGGAACTTCAACGAAGACCATGGGATCGACTTTCGGGTTTTCTTTCAAACAAAGCTTAACCTTTCTGGAATTTTTGGGACAAATGATGGTGCCAGTGACCAACGTTGCAGCACCAGGTAGACAGTGGGAAAATATTAATCCGTTGAATGTTCTCGTGGCGCTAAAAGCTCCATAATTTGACTTAATAGATTCCTCAAGTCCATCTACGATTTCATTGATTTGATTGTCTTGATTAATTAAAGAGTTTGGATTCCTTTTTATAAACATTGCGATTTGCACGTAGCCTTGTTGACGTTGATCTGTATCTCGCACTTTGCTCCATGTGATGCGCGTTTAATGATTCTTTAACTTTATTTTTTATATATATATTTGTTTGTTTGATACATTTTTTAAATTGTGATAGCTTGCGTTTTTACTCCTTGTAATTTGATTCCAAAATTAGGTAATCTTGTCCATTCTTTTATTTAATTTGTTGAAATCCTGTACATCATATAGTAGTGTTGAAAGTTGGACTTTGCACCACCGAAAGTGTAAAAATTAAATGCACCGAATAGATTTGGTGCAATGGTCAAAAGTTGCTATAATTTGTTGAAAAATTGAAAGGGTAAATTTTTACAATTAATCATTGGACTTTAGGGTATTTATAAGATTGGTCCTTAAACTTCAACTATAAATACTCTAACTCATTTAGTTTCAAAATCATCCCAAATTATTCTAGTTTTCTCTCAATCCTAGAGAATTTAGAGAGTTTCTTGAGAGTTATTTTCTCCTTTTTATCAAGAGAGAATTATAATTGTTTTCTCCTTGTTAGATCGATAGAAGTTGTAATTCCTATTTTCTTATAGTGAAATTCTTCTACAGTTGCCCGTGGTTTTTACCCTATATTATTTAGGGGTTTTCCACGCAAGATTTGTGTCTTCTTTATCTTCATTTTTATTTTCTTAAATTATCAGTTGTGATTTTGCTCTATCCGATAGCCGTATTCCGCAACAATTGGTATCAGAGTCAGATTTGAGTGTGTAATATCTATTTATTGTCTTTGTGGTTGCCACCAAAAGGTGGATCCTCCAACATAAGAAAGTAAGCAGGTATTACCCATTCTTTAAAGGTTCCAAAGAACTATTCATGATAGTGAAATAGTGGGAGTTATCCGTAATAGAATATATGACAATGAAATTTGATATTGAAAAATTCAATGGGAGAAATTTCTCATTGTGGAAATTGAAGATGAAGGTCATCATGAGGAAAGACGGTTGTCTAGCAGCTATTAGTGAAAGGCCGATAGATTTCACAGATGACAACAAATGGATCGAAATGGACGGGAATGCTATGGCAAACTTTCATATAGCATTAGCAGATGAAGTATTGTCAATCATCGAGGAGAAGAAGACAGCTAAAGAGATATGTGATCATCTCACCAAATTGTACGAGGCCACATCGTTGCACAATAAAATTTTCCTTAAGAGAAAATTGTACACTCTCCGGATGCCAGAATCTACTTCTGTGATGCAGCACTTAAACACGCTGAACACTTTATTTTCCCAGTTTACATCCCTAAGATGTACAATAGGAGAACAAGAATGTGTTGAACTTCTACTTCAAAGTCTACTTGATTCGTATGATCAACTCATCATAAACTTGACAAACAGTAATGTCACCAGTCTAGTCTTCGATGATGTTGCAGTTGTTGTTCTACAAGAAGAAAATCGGCGCAAGAACAAGGAAGACGGACAAGTAAATTTGCAACAAGCAGAAGCATTGACAACGATGAGAGGAAGATCAACAGAACGTGGCCAAAGCAGCAGTCACAAACATGGTAGATCAAAGTGGAAAAGCAAGAAGAATTTAAAGTGCTACAACTGTAGAAAAAAAAGGTCACTTGAAGAAGGATTGTTGGAGTCTAAATAAAAACTCTAATCCAGAAGGCAATACCGTAAACACTTCAGATGATGGAGATGCTCTATGTTGTGAATCGTCAACCACCGTGGAAGGTAGAAAAAGATTTACAGATATATGGCTCATTGATTCAGGAGCAACATATCACATGACCCCAAGAAGAGAATGGTTTCATCATTATGAACCTGTCTCAGGAGGGTCTGTGTATAATTGCAATGATCATGCCTTAGAGATCATTGGCGTGAGAACCATCAAATTGAAGATGTATGATGGAATAATTAAAGTTGTTTGAGATGTACGCACGTGAAAGGCCTGAAGAAAAATTTATTATCCTACAGATTGTTGGATAATAATGCGAGCAAGATTGAAACACGGAAAGGAATCATGAAGGTGTTCCGTGGAGCGCTTGTGGTGATGAAAGGTGAAAAGATAGCAATAAACTTGTACATGCTGAAGGGAGAGACTTTTCTAGAAGTAAAAGCCTCTGTTGCCTCATGTAGTTCAGATTCTGCAATGCTATGACATCAGAAACTTGGACTCATGTCAGAACAAGGAATGAAATTCATTGTAGAGTAAAAGCTACTTCCAGACTTAACAAAAGTATCACTTACTTTGTGTGAGCATTTCATAACAAGTAAAAATCACCCGATGAAATTCAACACGTCAAATTCTAGAGGTAAAAGTATTCTAGAATTGGTTCATTCTGACATATGGCAAGCACCAGTTATATCCCTAAGCTGAGCAAAATACTTTGTCTCATTTATTGATGATTTATCTCATTTATTGATGACTACTCCAGGAGATGTTGGGTGTACCCTATTAAGAAGAAGTCAGACGTGTTTTCAACTTTCAAAATCTTCAAAGCGTAGGTGGAATTTGATTCTGGAAATAAGATCAAGTGTTTCAGAAAAAATAATTGAGGAGAATACACAAGTGAAGAATTTGATGACTTTTACATGAAAGAAGGCATCAAAAGACAGTTCACAGTGGTAAACACTCCTCAACAAAATAGAGTGGTAGAGCGGATGAACATAACCTTATTAGAAAGAACAAGAGCAATGTTGAGGGCTGCAGGTCTAGAAAAATCATTTTGGGCAGAAGCAGTCAATACCGCCTATTATTTGTTGAATCGAGCTCCATCAACTGCAATAGAGCTGAAGACAATGGAGATGTTGACTGGTAAACCAGCTAATTATTCAAACCTCCATGTATTTGGAATTATCATGTACATGATGTACAACTCCCAAGAAATTTCAAAACTGGATCCAAAATCCAGGAAATACAAATTCTTGGGGTATGCTGATGGTGTAAAGGGGTATCACTTGTGGGATTCTACTGCCCGCAAAGTGATCATTAGCAGGGATGTTATCTTTGTAGAAGATAAGCTACAAAGAAAAGATGATGATGATAGCGTTAAAAAGTCAGAGACTACTAGATACATGTGGAAAAGGAGATTCTTCTAAAGCAGAACCATCACATGACAAACAAGAACCAGAAAGTTATGAAGCTCCAACAATTCGTCAATCAGATCATGTGAGAAGACGTCCCAATTGGCACTCAGATTATGTTATAGAAGGAAATATTGCATACTGCCTTTGAACAGAAGACGGTGAGCCATCAACATACCATGAGACAATAAACAACTCAGATGCTTCACTATGGATGATGGCAATGCAAGAAGAAATCAAAGCCCTTCATAAAAATAATAAATGGACATTGTTCCACTACCACAAGGAAGGAAGCCAATTGGTAACAAATGGGTCTTCAAAATCAAGCGAAATGGTGACGATCAAGTTGAGAGGTATCGTACAAGACTAGTGGTCAAAGGATACGCTCAAAAAGAATGTATTGATTTCAATGAAATCTTTTCTCCTGTGGTTCAACTAACAACAGTTCGAGTAGTTTTGGCAATGTGTGCTACATTGAACTTACATCTATAACAGTTAGATGTTAAAACAGCTTTTCTTCATGGAAATATTGAAGAAGATATTTATATGCTCTAGCCTGACGGTTTTAAAGAAGAAGAAAAGAAGAACTTGGTTTGCAGGTTAAACAAATCTCTGTACGGTCTAAAGCAAACACCGAGGTGTTGGTATAAGAGATTTGATTCCTTCATTATGTGTCTTGGATACAACAGACTTAATGTAGACCCTTGTGCTTATTTCAAGAGGTTTGGTGATAACGATTTTGTTATATAGCTATTGTATGTGGATAATATTGGTTGCAGGACCCAACAAAGATGATATTGAAGAATTGAAGGCAAAACTGGCTAGGGAATTGAAATGAATGACTTGGGATCAACAAACAAGATTCTAAGGATGCAAATTCACCGAGACAGAAGTAATAGGAAGATTTGTCTTTCACAAAAGAATTACTTGAAGAAGATCTTGTAACTATTCAACATGCAAGATTGTAAGCCAATTTCTACCTCTCTTCCTATTAACTTCAAATTATCCTCCAGTATGAGTCCTAGCAGTGAAGAAGACAGGATGAAGATGTCTCGAGTGTCGTATACATCGGCAATAGGAAGTTTAATGTTCGCTATGATATGCACAAGACCAGACATTGCACAAGCAGTGAAAGTGGTTAGTTGGTACATGGTGAATCCAGGCAAAGAGAATTGGAATACAGTAAATAGGATCCTGTGATACATCAAAGGGACCTCAAATAATGCATTATGTTACGGAGGATCAAACTTACTTATCAATGGTATGTCGATTCTGACTATGCAGGAGATTTGGATAAAAGCAAATCTACTACAGGATATGTGTTCAAAATTGTTGGTGGAGCTGTAAGCTGGGTTTCAAAATTGCAGTCAGTTGTGGCTACGTCCACAACAGAGGCAGAATATGTAGCAACTACACAAGCCAGTAAAGAAGCAATATGGTTGAAGATGCTATTGGAGGAGCTTGGGCACAATCAAGAGTATGTCTCTCTGTTTTGTGACAGTCAAAGTGCCTTACATCTAGCAAGGAATCCAACATTTCATTCAAGAACAAAACACATATGAGTTCAGTATCATTTTATTCTTGAAAAGGTGGAAGAAGGAAAGGTAGATATGCAGAAAATCCATACCAAAGACAACTTAGCAGATTTCATGACGAACACAATCAATGCTGATAAATTTACCTGGTGTCGATCCTCTTGTGGCCTGTTAGAGACGTAAGCAACATAAAGATACAAGGTAGAAAGAATGGTGTGAAGATATGATTGTTCCAATCAAATCTTCAAGTGGGAGATTGTTGAAAGTTAAACTTTGCACCACCGAAAGTGCAAAAATTAAATGCACCGAATATATTTGGTGCAATGGTCAAAAGTTGCTGCAAACTTGTTGAAAAATTGAAAGGGTGAAATTTCATAATTAATCCTTG